ATTAAGGTTTAAAGACGAGGCCGTTTCATAGTTATATAGAAAGCCGAGTCCGAGAAGGTGAAGGCGTGCAATGCAAGATTATAGACGAATTAAAAAATAAAAAATAAAAAATCCTGTGTTTATTGTGTGATTGGATATAAATTCATCTAGTAACAAATTAATCAAAATTTAAATATAATTTAATTTTAACTCTATCTCATTATGTTTAATTTAATTTATATAATTAAATAATACTTATCAACTTTGTTTTACTATTCATCTTCTCACATAATTTTAATTAATCACCACTTCGCACCATCTCTCTTATACTTCTACATCAAATCAACATTAATTATTTGATTTTAAATATTATTTTATTATAAATTTAATCTCTCACTAACAATTAACCATATCATTGTTTTAAAAAAATAAATTAATTATGATTAAAAAAACCAATAAAAAACTAATTAAATTCATATTCAATCATACTGTTACTAACTTGGACCCGCAGCAAAATAGAGGAAAAGACTAACTAAAGGCTACGAGAAGTCAGTCCCCAGGGGGTTGTTTTTAGTCGTCTTCGTTCTCCTTAGTCCTTCCAGAGCTATTAAACAAAACGAGTCGTCTGTAAATTCAATTAGGCTACAATCGTTTGATGAAAAAGTTAAACTCGAACTCATTGAAAGTTCGTTTAGTTAATAAACCATACTCGGCTAGTTAATTATTATTATAAGAATTCATTAATTAGTACAATATTATAATAATATATAAGGCTACGTTTATTGTAATGATTGACTAAGTTAGGCGGCGGTCTGTATGGTCTTCGCCCCACCTCGCAAACGGTTTCGGCGAAAGTTGCTAATGGGTCCATTTGCGGTCCACACAAGTTAATGGCTATTTCTTGCATATTTATTTTTTGCCTCTTTTTACTGTTCTTGTTTTCTATTTTATATTCAAATTAATTTCATTTTAAGCAAACTATACAATATAATAAATATTATATGCCTTATAAATATAAAACTTCTTTACCTGGCATGGCTTTTTCCTGTGGAATTTCATGAAACATTTAATTAACACGTGAAAACTGAAAACTAAATGTGGCAATTGAATTTAGGAAGCGAGGAAAGAAACCTTTTTACCTGCAAATTCAGGTACCTCATTTTTGTGGCCATAAATTAATTGTCCAGTTTTTTGGCATTTAAGTTTGTAATGATTTTAAATTGAATATTTTACACCTAATTTTTGGCCTAAAAGTTGGTGAAGATTCTTGATATTCTGCAATGAACCAATAACTAGTTTTTGTCCCGTGCATTTGCACGGAAAACTATATAATACATGAAAAAATAATAAAAATTATAAACAATAGTAAAAATCATAACAAAATCATTGAAAAAAATTAAGAAAAAAAATATAAATATTCTTAAACACTTCTTTATAAAACAACGTCGTGGTTTTTCTATCGTCAAAATCCCTCTCAGCTCAAATCAAAATCTTCAAACCCTAGTTACTCGTAACTCTAAAAAGCGTCATGTATAATTGCTCATGACTAAATGTTGAGCTATTCAGTAGTAAGCCGACGTGCGACAGAGACTATCTTTGACTCTTATTGATCATGTCATAACATAGGAAACACTTCTTTATATTGTTTGTCCTTGACTCTTATTGATTGATAGAGATTGTCCTTACTTCTTAATAAAAAAATACCATCTAAATATAAATGAGTAAATATAATATTAATTTTTTATATAAACAAAAAATTTAAAGATCTGTAATAGATCTGTAAATATATGTATTTTTTTGAGTTTTTTTTTTTAAAAAAAAAAACTCGTATCATGAGCTTTCCATTAGGGTTAGCTTCCAATGGACTGGAACCGCCCGCATCGTGATTTTAAGAGGCCGATTAAGGCCCTTTTGTTATATTTAATCACAGTCAGAATTTTTTTTACGTATGTTTAATTTTTTTTTCGCGGATTCAAGTTATTTCAACGATGTTCTTTTTATATATCTAAGATTTTTTTTTTCTGATTTGTATGAATATAAGCATATGTAACTAATTTTTATAAAATTTATTGAAAAAAGTTATTATTTTTTTTTTAAAAACAGATAAGATATTACGATAATACTGTACTTAACATAAATGTGAGATTAATTAAAATAAATCTTTTTAATTTAATCATTAACTAATTAAATTTAACTATAAGAAACCTTCTTAAATGTGAGATTAATGAGCAATTAATTAAAAAAAATGTAACTCCTTTTGGAGGGAAAGTGAAAATATTTTTATTAAATGTTTTATTAAATGCTATTAGCTAGCAATTATATATATATAGATATAATACCACCGCCTTATCCCATTCACACGAATTTTATTTATTTTCGTTAATAACGCAGTTAGATAACTAAACTACATTTTCATTGATTCTTTAATAAATAAACTATGAGTAATCGGCCAAGCATAAATTGTATATTTATCATAAGATGTTGAGTCCAAGATTAAATTTAGAGTCATGTACTTATTTAAATAGCATGTGCTTAGAGTTCGAATCACCTAATGGTTAAACAATTAAATCATTTTTTAAAAAATTAATTTTTTAAATTGAAATATCATATTTTAAAATTATTAAATTTCATAACACAAATAGACATTCTTTGTTAAAATTATATGATTATTCGACTCTCTAATAGATATATTGTCTAAAGGACACATAGACGAGTCCTTTAAGTGTCAATTCCGCAAAAACGGAAGGAAAAAAACTTTTCACATATGTGTAAACCAAGAATTTATGAATTCCCGAAAAACAAATTTTTTATTGTTAAATTTGTAGAGCAATAAGTATCTCATTAATTTTTTAATTGATGCCACAATTCTATGTAATCAAGGAAAGGTGTTGAAAATAAAACAGTTGCAAGAAACTACCATGTTATCAAAAGCTGAGTTTATTTTAAGTTTGTAATTAGTCAAATAACAAACATAACATTTCTGATACCAAACTATTTAGATAATGAATAAACATAAATATGTAACATACCAAACTAGTTAAAAATACAGAGAAGAAAAAAAATACAAAACATGTCTGATACATTTTATTATAAGGAATAATAACATGATTTCTACTAAACATAATGTATTCCTTAATGTTTAGTTTAAAACCTGTTAAAAAACAACATTAGTTTGAAAAGATAATCAGTAATATACCACCATACATAACCAAAATACAAAAAAAATAATTAATAGTCATTAGATGAAGATGAAAATTCCAAAAGTAGAACAAATAGACAAGNCAGAAACAATCAAGATAATCCTAACATCATACAAAGTATTCTTGACGAAATTTCTTGTTCCATTTCGAAATCAAAATAATCCTAACATAAACAAGCTTACGCTTACCCTTCACATCAGCGTCGACCTTCATCCGAGAAACAGAGTAGCATTCTTTACGAGCACTAGTGCAGTGGTTGGCCGTCTCACCGTGGAATGTTCTTCAACTGATCTTTGTTTTTCGACATATCAGAGAATATTGGGGGATGATAATGGCCGATCAAGTGTTTGGCCTTGTAATTTTTATTTTATTTTTTATTCTATTACGGTTTTTGTTGAACAAATTAAAAAAGATGATGGTTGCTTGCATCGGGATAGTGATATTGATAATGGAGAAAGACATCAGCAGGATCACACTTCCCTAAGCGGCTTTATTACCTTTTTCATATCATTTAATTATTTGATCAATTGATATTTGAAAAAGTCAAGAGACGTTTTTATGGAATACAAAACCTGTTTATTCTCATTTAAGTAGTTCGATATTATCCATATGGGATTAAAAACTTAATCTAAGTTGTTTATGGTTTGTACAGTAACCAAAACTAAGTTGTTTTTCGTGGGGCCACGGCTTACCACGAGGGGTACGTCTACATAGTGCATCCCAATCAGAAGATCTCGTTGCATAGCATTTCGAAAATAACATTTTCTGCATGTATTCAGATTGTGTTTGGTAAATCTAGCTGAAGTTAGTTGAACTTATAAATGAATTTCAAGCTTATAGATAATAACTTATGGTTGAAAAGCTAATAAGTCAATTGAAATAAAAATTTCAATTCACTTTTTTAAAAAATTATCTAAGAAAACTTATGAGATCAACTCCAACTTTTAAATAACTGAATGCCCATACACATATGCATTGGGTGATTAGGTTAAATTAATCGATCGAATGTTCATCAACACGTGAATATGTAGGACAACGATTTGGGGTGCGGACCACCGATGCTTCAGCCTTAAAGAGCCGGTTTATGACGAGACATTTTGGCGAAGCTTCATGAGTTACGATATGATTCGTATATTAGAGTCGACCATAAAGGACTTGGAGCAAAGAGGGGTCAAAGTAGAATATATCAACATAACCCAAATGTCGTCTTATAGGGGAGACGCTCATCCAGCGACTAACAGAATGTTTTGGGGAGTCGACATTGAACGACGGTTGAAGAATGATCCGATGCATTTCGCGGATTGCTTGCTTTGGTGTCTGCCGGGCGTGCCCGATGTTTGGAATCAAATACTCTATGATTATATTATAAAATTTTAATAGAACAAATTTTTTATATATATATTTTATTCTATTTTTAATACTTTCACATATGTTATATAATAATCTACATATTCTTAATGTCTTAATCGACTCATATTCTTGAGGTCGATTAAAATCTCGCACGGAGAGCCCGAGAGAAGAGGAGCAGTGGATTTGCTGGCGGCGGCGGTCGATTCGCATAGAAGAGTCGAGGAGCAGCAGCGGATGTCGATTCGCACAGAAAATCCATTGAGTAGAGGAGCAGTAGGTGCCGGCGACAGAGAGTTGAAGAGAAGAGGAGGATTGGAGGTGCCGACGGCAGAAGTCGATCGGAAATGAGAGGAGCGGGTGGGTGCGTGAAAATGAAAGAGTGAAAAGTGAAAATTGGGCAGGTGAGGGCTGGATAGGATTTGGTATACAAGGGTAGACTTGCATTTTTATCCCGTAAAATGGCTATATTTCATTGTTTTAGAAAAACTGAAAAAGTGGCTATATTTCATTTTTTCCTTCAAATAAGTCTGTTTAAATTAATCATGTCCAAATCCCAACATTTACTCAAAATATTTAAACCATAGGATAAAAAGAACAGAAGAAAAAACAAGCAATGTATCAAAGATATATCACCAGCTACAATAACAACAAGATATACTTGGCACAACACTTAATTTTACCAAATAAGCAGAGCAACATTAAGCACCACATTCACTCGAAGTCGAGCACATAATCTTGAAATTCCATGTCTACATAACAAACAACATAAATCAATCCAGAAACGGTAATCGTTCTAACAAAAAGATCGGACAAACCAAAAGAGCAACAAGAATCTGTAAATTTAGTCCTCTTCCTCTCCTTCTTGCTCGGCAATGTTGAAGTACCGCAGCTCATATACGTTCCTCTCTTTGTTGGAAGCAATCACTCGAAGCCAATCTCTCACGTTGTGCTTCTTCAAGTACTTTTTTGTCAAATACTTGAGATACCTGAAAAATGAAAATGAATGAAATGGTAACTAAAAGTATTAATTTTACACTCCAATTTTCTACAGACTTGGTATAAACATTTCCACTCTACTTAACACTTTCCCTGTGAAGCATTGCTTCAAGATGGGCTACAGAAAGTTTCATCAGCAATACTGTACCTTTATCCCGTAATCTCTCATCCAATCAAACTAAACTTAATTTCATATGCAACCTCCAATTTCATATAATTCTTACATTTTTCAAATGCTCAGCTTCTAACAAATTCAGAATGATTGGTTAAATTACTTTGTTTCCAAAAAATTAAATGAAGAAATAAAAAAAAAAACAAATCTTTAGGCAACAATATAACCATACAAACCACAATCAACCAAGAATGTATTATACAAGCAAAACCCTAAATTGAATATACCTTTTGGAGAAGGAAGCATCGGCGGTGACGGTGATCTTGTTCTTTTCTCGGGTGACGGTGACGGAATCGCCGAGGGCGCCGGGCTTGCCGGCGATCTTGATCCTCTCCTGCAAGAACTTCTCGAGCGAGGCGATCTCCATGATCTTGTCCTCCACCGGCTTCGAGCAATCGATTACGAAGGTCACTCCCTTCTTTTTCCCGCCTTTGGCTCCCCCAGCCGCCGCGCCTTTGCTCATCTTCGATCTCTGTTTCTCTCTCTCTCTCTTTTTGTTAATGCCTGCAAAGAAAAGGTACGAATCAGATTAAAAGCTTCAAACAGATCGAGATTCAGAAGACAAAAGAAGGGCGGTTCGTACAAGTTGGATCGACGGCCGCCTGCGTGAAGTTCGTGCACAGAGAGTGATATTGTGCGTGGAGAACTACAAATGGTTTATTAGGGTTTTTTTGGGTTGATCAGTGGGCATTTTTTAGGGTTTAGGTTTATTTTTGTAGAGTGATTTGGGTTGAGGAATGGGTAGGTATGGGCCATCACGAATTCATAACTGGGCTTCATGTCATCTGTGATGGGTTTAATGACCTTTAGGTCCAACATTTACTAGTACTAGAAGTTGAAACATTTAACCCCCATGACAAACGAAATAAGGATATCCTACGTCTCTCTTTTAAATCATATGCGCCAATAGTCTTATCTTTCGCCTGATTGCACACGTTAGCTGTTAGCGATTAGCGGATTGCATTAACTGTTTTGACTAGCTGATCGTGTTAGCAATTTGTAAAAAAATATTTGGTAAAATTAATTATTTTAATTAGCTGTTAACATGACATCAACATACTTTATCATTCATATTATGTTGAGCTTATAATTATTTAGGAAATAAAAATAATTAATTTTTAAAATATTTACTAAAGTGATTTAAAATATAATACAATAAATATAACACAATGAAGGCATTCAACGCAACTAAAGTAAAAAAATAAAAAAATAAATTTATTTCCATAATAATAACAACCATAATTAAAAACATAACTTTCCATTCAAGTTGTATCAATATTCAGTATAATACTCAAACATTAATAATAATATAAATGGAATATACACACATATATATGCACATCACCACTAGCAAAAGATAAGTTAAAAAACGAGGGCGCATTA